TTAAATCTATAAACTAATTTTTGTAAGGTTTCCCTCTGGAATAAAAGGTATTATAAATATTTTAGGCATTACTTTCATTAATATATAGAAGTTATTGTTATGATGGGAATATTTGCCATCAATCAAAATTAATATATTAAATTAATGATTAACTTGGGCAACATTTTCTGTTTTTAAGATCTTGCAGAATATATACACGGCAAAGGCTTACTTTTTGGAATTTATTCAGATGCCGGAAATGAAACTTGTGGTGGTCTTCCTGGATCACTTGGTAATTAATATATTTATTTGGCATTCAACTTGAAAGTTTCAAGACATGTAATTAAACAAGTATATTATAGACCACGAAGAAATAGATGCGAAAACATTTGTAGAATGGGGTGTTGACTATTTAAAGTATGATAATTGCTTCAGTCAAGGAAGACCTGAACAAGAACGTTATCAAGTAAGTTATTAAGTAATCAAGCTTTAATTGAATATTAATACTTATTATTATTGGTATTTATAAAATGGGAAAGGCACTTAAGAATGCAACTAAAGGCACTAATAAGACTATTTTTTATTCCATCTGTGAATGGGGGTAATATGAGTTTACAAAATATTTTAGTAAACCTATTATGCTTATCTAAATCTACAGAATACAGTACTAAATTTCATATTTTAATTTTTATATTAGACAAAGTGATCCTTGGTTATGGGGACCTGATGTCGGAAATAGGTAATTATCGTATCTAATGGTCTCAAAGCTTGTTTCAATAATTTATATTGCAAATATAATAAATAATTATTTGTTATTTAAATAAATCGATTTAGTTGGAGAACTTCTGTTGATATTAATGGGTTATGGACGTCGATATTATCAATAATAGATTCGCAAGTAAGGATTACACAATATGGAGGGCCAGGAGGTTGGAATGATCCTGATATGCTTGCAGTAGGTTTTGATGTAATATCTCCCATTGAACAAATAGCACATTATGCATTTTGGCTGCTCTGAAGGCCCCTTTAATACTTGGATGTGATGTGGGTTTTATTTTATCAATTTTTTTGATTTATGATTATTTGATAAAAATGATAGCAATAATACTAAATTATTTCCAAATTCCAAATTATATTATAGCTTAATGACATCAATGATGCATCAAAAGCATTAATATTAAATAAAGATATAATTTCTGTAAATGTAAGTTTACCCCTTATTATTAGGATTATTCTTTGTTTCTCATCAAATATCTTAAAAAAATTCGTGTGTTACGTTTGGTTTAATTCTAAAAATAGCAAGATCCTCTTGGGCAATCTATATGCCAGGTTTACTATAAAACTCATAAAAAAACTTCTTTTGATATTTGGACCGGACCTCTTATTGATGGATATGTTGCAAGTTTGTATCAAAAACTTTCATGCTTTATTAACCAAATTATTAAACTTTAAATTTAATTGATTTTTTATTATTTTAGTTTTATTTAATCGTGGAATAGACCCAATAAATATTACATTGAATTTTCATAAACATTGCTATCTTACAGGTGAAATTAAGGTTAGGGATCTTGTAAACCAACAATCTAAAGGAAACTTTACAAATACGTATGTTAACATATTAAAATAACAATAGTTTTTATTATTATTATTATTAATGATTACGCTAACTAAATAAATAATTCACCTTTTCAAATAATCATTACAGTTATACTGCAGTAAATATTCCAGAAAATGGAGTAGAATTTATAAAACTTACTGGCAGAACCAAAACTAACTCTGCTAGACCATGTCTTGATTATTCTTTGCGGAAACATTAAAAAATTTAGCAATACAATTAGTATATAATTTCTAAACAACAGTATCAAAATTTAAGATTGTTTGCTCTCAGTAATTATTATTCATATAAGAACTTAAATAGCTATTTAATAATAGATATCTCGTTACATACTAAAATAAATAAAATAAAATTTATATATATTAAATACTATAATAACTATTAAATTAAATAAGTGAATGGAAATAACCTGCACTCAAAAATAAATCAAGATTAATAAGAAAAATAATATACTTGAATCGAAACAGAGTAAAAAGTTTAATACTCATCTCGAATATTTCGATAGGCTAATTCAATGTTTTCATCGTGACAATGAATTCACTTGAACGGTTAAACTATATTTTTACTAATTAAAAAATTGGATTCCGATCTATTAACATAGATGCTTGAGAGCATCCTAAATCAAGAATTAGGAAATTAGAAATAAAGGACGTCTGGGCCTCTATCTCTTGTTGATTGGAATGATAAATACCTTTGGTCGGTCAAACGAACTTCCGCTAATAAAAATTTCTTTCTGATGTATTAAACTTTCATTAAGTGTTTTATTCATTGGAATATTCAATATAATTGATCCGTTAAACTATTTTTTTACTAATAAAAATTTATTTTCAGATTTGTTCCGACGGGTTGATTAAGGTTCTTGAGAACACCCTAAATAGTTTACAAAAAATATGTGCAGATAATGAAAATCCATAATAAAAAGTATGAAAACGTTTGAGCAATACTTTATTCACTTTAATAGTTATAAAGTTTTA